TTGGAAGAGTGGACTGCTGATGTCGTCACTGCTATCGGCGTTTTCAGCTCCTTCCTCCTTGCCCGTGAGTCTCTGCTGCTGCCACTGGATGGGGTCCATGATAACCGGCCTACCCAGGGAGCCTGACATGTGTCTCCTGGTCAGGTGAGTGGGCACCGTCCATGCCCGCTGGCTGCCCCCAAAAGGGGCCTCTCTCCAGGCCAGTCTTGAAGGAGAAAGAGTATCTAAAGTATCGTTCCTTTTCCGTAGGAACCCAGAGGCAGCGGGGCTTTGAGGGAGACCTTCCACGTACAACGGGTTTCGGGTCGTTAGCGGGTTCTCATCGGACAAAAAAGTGATGTTACTCGAGGATTTGGGGAGGTTATTGTTCAGGGATCCATTGATATTGGATTGCTTGTGAGCCTCTATAGCACGGGAAGCAAAGCTGCTTATAACTCTCTGTCGGTCTCCTTCTTCTAAGACTGACTTTTTTCCCCTGCTTTGTTGGAAATGGTAGAGAAGAAAAAGACTTGAAAGAAAAGAAGATAACCACATGTGAGGAAACATGCATGGACATAGGTACTTATGAGAGAGAGAAAATAAAAACTTATGACATGAATCAGAGCCATTAAACCACTTCTAGCAAACTACAACCCAACAGCAGGAGCACATCTACTACTGGCAAGACATTTACTTTTGCATCTTCTTTAAGGGGGGAGGAAGAAAAATTAAAACAAGCTGCTGCTTGCTTTAATTTGAAGCTGTGTAGCTACTCGGTGAGTTCAAAAATAAATTCACTTCTTGTTAAAAAAAACCTCTTAGATTTCAAAATTATCAGTTAATACTGTCGCCTATCCACCTAGAAGCACTAAACATCACAGAAGTATCAATATGTGAATGAATTTCATCTCTTGTGTGTATGAATTTCATCTCTTCATCATGTTGAATCCAATAAAAAGCCCCTGTGGTTGGGTGACATGGAATTTCTACACCAAAAGTGGGAGGTCTCACCACTTTCTGGACTCCATCTATCACCTCCCAGTCCCTCATTAACTTCCTCCCTCAAATATATTTAATACCACAACCTTTTGAGCAGATTTGAAAAGAAACAGTATTTTTAAAGGAATGGCCCCAAATTGCATGCTAGAAAAGTGCCCTTTGAGGCCTATTTTAAATAATGCTCACCACAGGCTGAAATGAGATTTTTTTTCTCTCAAACTTAAGAAATTTAAGATTTAGGCCTGTGTGAGGCAGAGCTAAAGTACACCATGAGTAGCAATCTCATCTACCTGCACAAATAAAAATATAATTTAAGGTTGGTTTTAGTGGCTTAGAGATATCCAGTATTTTCATACAAGTTCTGAGTTAAAATTTCTAAGCCTTGTCTCTACCAAAATTTGAATTTTGGTAAAAGATTAGGAGAAAAAATGGAGTTTTCCATGACTCTATGAGTGTTGAAAGATGAAGATTTGGATCTCTTGGTCACATTGTTCTGTGGGTTTTGGTGGTGTTGTTTCATATCTCAGAAAACATAACCAAATCCAAATTAATTAGAAATTACACTCTGGTGGTTAAATAGTCCCTAGCAAAATTGGAAGGGAAATTTAAATAACTAGAAAGAGTTAATTAAGAGATCATCTTTTTCCTCTAAGTTATTTAAGATGTAAAAGTCCCCTGAGGGTTGTATTTAATAACAAAACACTTTTGTTTCTTGACTTTTGTTTCCTGTTTTGATCAGGGGACCACCCAGGCAGGGAATACTCTGCTTCCCAATGTTCCAGCAAGCCAGCAGGACTGGAATTCCCACACAGAGAACCTTGATATCATTCTCCCAGGAATCATTCTCTCATTTTTGTTTTGCAAAACACACCCAGCAAAGCACCACAAATTGAATAAACTCTCCCCAGGCACTGCAGTTTGCCAGAGCTGAGTGTGCCTAAGGCTTCCTCTGGGCTGAATGAATAAAAATAACTAACTTCACATTAATTAGAGAATACTAGAAGGGTTTGGATTGGAAAGGACCTTAAAAAGGACCTAGCTCCAACCCCCAGCCATGGCAGGGATACCTTCCACTGTCCCAGGCTGCTCCAAGCCCCAAAGTCCAGCCTGGCCTTGGGCACTGCCAGGGATCCAGGGGCAGCCACAGCTGCTCTGGGCACCCTGTGCCAGGGCCTGCCCACCCTGCCAGGGAACAATTCCTCATTCCCAATATCCCATCCAGCCCTGCCCTGTGGCACTGGGAAGCCATTCCCCCTTGTCACTCCATCCCTTGCACAGTCTCTCTCTCCATCTTTCCTGTAGCCCCTTCAGGCCACAGTTTGGTGACCCCAGAGCTTCTCCTGTCCAGGTGAGCAGGCCCAGCTGTGCCAGCCTTTCCTCCCAGCAGAGCTGCTCCATCCCTCTGCCCATGCTGGTGCCTCCCCTGGGCTCTCTGCAGCAGCTCCAGGTCCCTCTGTAAAGGAACTCTGAATCCTGAAGCAGCCAGCTTTGAGGTCAGCCAAGCACTGCATCTACTGAGAGGTGAGAGAAGCAGCGACTGAACTTGAAGGAGTCCCTCCAGCAGAAGGCTCATGCAAGGTGCCACCACCTTTCTGCCACTGGAGCAGATTATTTCAAAAGCTCCTCAGCCTCCTCCTCGCTCTACATGAGGCCTCTGAGAGCTGAGGTGACCCCACCATGTTTTTCTGTTTGTGTGGAGCTGTTTCCATTACTGAGGACCAGAGAGTTCAGGTTCTGTCAGCTCAAAGACTCCACAGGCCTTGCATGGGATTGGAATTAACAGCCAAGGAAAGTTTAAACCCAGCCATAAATCCATGAACTCCCAGCAAACCTCTCTGTTCATGCACTCAGTGTTGGTTTGTCTTTTTTTGACCCTTTGGCTTTAGAAATAATGCCCTTCAAGTTCAGCAATCACCCCTCCTCTCTCTGCTTCCAGGAAGAGGGATAAAGAAGCACAGAAGTATTGCAACTTCCCAGTAAATGTCTTTTCTGCTCAATGGACAAATAAAATATGAACTTCACCTTGCAAGGTTGGATGGGAATTGCTGGAAGGAAAATTAACTAATTTCTACCAGCTACAAATATTAAGAAAATGAAATAAGCTTACTTACTGATGCCTAAGGATCCAGAGACAGGGAAAAATGAAAATGGTGAGACAAGGCAGATTTAAAACTAAAGAGCTTTGTTCCATTTCATTTGCTATAAACACCAAAGAAAGCAAACAAGACACTGCAAATGAAAGATGACAGACTTAGGACAACTAAAATAGGGAACAATGTACTAAAACTCATGAAAAATGGAGATAAAAGATTTTTTCCAAATAGGAATTTCCTAAGGTATACCTGTGCCCTGAAATAAAATATTTATGGCAAAGAAAAAGTTAATTTGTAATTATATTTATTGAAGCCTGTTATTTTCTTGCAAATCCTATGGATTTTGATTTATCTTTGAAGGATTTTTGTGTTTAATCAGTTCCTCAGCATGACAGATAAGCCTTGGTTGCATGCAAAGATATTTGAGAGAAAATATTCCAACTACAGCACCTTTTTGGTGCAATGAGGACTATTTTTGGTCCAAATTAACATAAAGCTAAGCCTCAAAGTTAATACTGCAGATCTGGGAAATGGCACCTCTTTGGGGCAGTTCTAAACCCCAAAAAACCTTTGCAGCTAAAACAAAGCAGAATGAGGCCTTTACTGGGTTTAGCATCGCATAATTAATTCCAGCAGAAATTTGGTTTAGTGTAAAAAAAGATGAATTTTATCCAGATGGCACCTCCCTGCATAAGGGTACAGATGTGACTCACAAAATGAAGTGCTCCCATTCCAAAAAAACTTTATTTCACATGTTTTTCTTCCCTTCCTGCCCAAGCATAACTTGACAAAGGCAAAAGGCAAAAATTCAGCCCTGAGGAGATACTATTCCTACTCCCGGCATTTTTAAGCCCCCTATTTACTCAGAAAACCTAAGCCCTGGAATTATTCCACATGAAGAAACTGCACCCAGTTGTCCAAGAGTTAAAGCTCTGCCATGGCCCTGTAACATTTTATAAACTCCATCACAGCGGCTGGAAAATTTCAACTTTCTAGGCAAAACAAATCATGATTGAAAATGGAGCAATCCTCATTTCCACCGTCCACTCACTCCCTACCTACCAAATATTATTCAAGCTGGGCTCTTCAGCACTCCTTGGTTTTCAAGTATAAACAGAGATGAAGAAGTGTGGCAAAGCTTATCAAACAACCCCACCAGTATCACACAAATAATAATTGCCTGGAATATTTTCCTACTGAGAGTTAAATTGTTATTGGAGTCCATCAACTTCAGGTTTACAGAGGCATGAAAAGAGAGGCAGCCTTGCAAGATTATTATTTTATGAGCATGTAAGAGGTAAAAGATGAGTTTATTGAGCTACCAGGGCTTTCTCTGCTTTGATAGTTCCTTTAATTTCAATATTTAAACAGGTTTAAATTTAGAACAAAAACCCCCAACAAACCGAACATATCTTTACTACAGGAAATGAAGACTTTGGGGCAGCAATTTTCAGGGAATTATCATTTCAGATGAGTGCAATGGATAAGAATGAATTTTATTGAATGTGTTTAGTCAACAGCTTTGGAAAACGTGGAGTGCTGGCCTGGATGTGCCAAGGAATCCAATCCTGGCAGCAGTGACCTCCTGCAGGATCTTGCTCTTGGGAAAACCATCTGGTGAGACCTTTTTGCCCACTTAAAGTCTATTAAAGGTTTCCCACGCATTACAAGAAGATTAAATTTGTTTTTCCCTCCATCCAGAGCCAGACTATTTCTTTTCTGGACGTTGGAGAACCCCAGGCAGCTGGGGAATGAAGGAAACCCTTTGCACAGAGAGTGCATGAAGCAATTTTATAGAACCCCAGAATAGCTTGGATTGGCAGGGACCTTAAAACCCATCCCATTCCATGAGCAGGGACACCTCCCACTATCCCAGGTGGCCCAGGGCAGTGATCTTCTGGATCTGGGTGGATCTCAAGGAATACTCACATGGTGCTGTCTCCAAGCTCCTCATAGAGGTTGTTGGCGGCGGCTCCGGATGGTTTTCCTGCTGGCAGAGCCATCTGCATCCTCGCAGTCTTGGCACACTCAGCCTGTCTCCTTTGGAGAGCCATGGGGGGAGGGAGAAACACTCATCAGGAACACCCCAAAACACGACCCAAAGAAAGCCAGAATGGGAGGTTTTCTTTGTTTTTGGCTAATAAACATCCCCTGGATTTTGTCTTCATCAAAGTAACAACATGATTATCTTCTCCTGGATTTATTAGCTCCTGGTTGGTCTGTTTTGGTGGAATCCCAGAGCTTCCCAGATCTCAGAATGGTTTGGGGTGGGAATGACCTTAAAGTCCATCCAGTTCCACCCCCTTCCACCATCCCAGGCTGCTCCAAGCCCCAAAGTCCAGCGTGGCCTTGGGCACTGCCAGGGATCCAGGGGCAGCCACAGCTGCTCTGGGCACCCTGTGCCAGGGCCTGCCCACCCTGCCAGGGAACAATTCCTAATTCCCAATATCCCATCTAAATCTATTTCTTTCAGTTTGATGCCACTCCCCCTTGTCCACTCACAACTCGTTTTTTCTTAATGGAGTTGGCTGGAAATTTCTGTTCTACAAATGGTTTGTCCCAAAAAAACCCCCTTTTTAAATTAATTTTTTTAATTTATTTTTTTTCCATGGGGTAAAATCACAGTGGAAAAAAATTCTGTTCCCTGTCTAGAAAACAAAGCTCCTTGTGTGGGGAGCGCCACCAGGGTGCTGTGCCTGATATACCCCAATGACACCGAGGAGCCATTAAAATAAATCACTTTTAAACTCATCACACCAGGAGTTCAGGAGCAAATTGAGTATAGGAATTTTAAAACCCCCTTATATTTAAGAAATGTTGAGAACAAAATTTGTCAGTATTCCTGTGCAAGCTGGAAGAAGCAAAGCTGGAAATACTTACTCTTTGAATCTGTTTGGTTGCAAAAAAAAGAGATAAAAAGGAAGGTCAAATAAATTCTCTCCCAACAACTGCCCATTACAGTGACTCTAACAGGAGTAATAAACTACAGGCTACTTAATTATTCCACACATCAAATTTCAGAATTAATGACTTGTTTAAAGAATCAGAACTTCCAGAGCTGAACAGCATTTGGCTGCTATTTTTGATCCTCTGGAAACAATTCTGTAGTCAGCAGAAATAAAAGTTACAGCAGGGAATGAAAACAAGACATGAAAACATGAATATTTCTCCTGTTTTTTCTTAAGCAGGCACATTTTTAGACTTGTTTCTTTATATTGAATTATTTTTATATAACAATATAAATAATATAATCATTATTTTATTTATATTTTCTTATTTTAGCATATTTCAAAAATGTATAAAAATACTTTTAATAATGAAGGAGCATCATTTTTTGTTATTATTTAGAAGATGCCATTCTTTTGTGACTATTAAATAATAAATAATGTATAAGTACCTTACAGGTTTGTGCTGGATACTGGATTTCAAAGGATTCATTTTTAGATTTATTACTAAAGAAATACTTTAGGAAAAATACCAAGATTCCTTTGGAAAAAGAGTGAAAAAGGCTGGAATGCAAAAACAAACCACGAGGCTTGGGATTTTAATTTAACTCTAAAATTCCTTTCATTTTCTTTGGCACTCTCCATAAAAATACAATTTATTTGCAATGGGCTGCTATAAATCCAAATCCAAGTCAGATCTCTAGATTGGAAAAATGGGATTTTTGGATGAAATGAATTTAAGCAGATTCCTGAGAGCTCCTAAAAGAGATTGATGATGTTTAGATAATCTAACAGATGCCAAGGAAAAATGAGGCTGCTTCATTTCTTTAAGGAATCTGCAATTCAGATAATAGCCACCAATGAATTGCAAGATGAACTGGCTCATGGAAGCAATTTTTCCACAGAATTCTGGAGAGGAAGAGCAGTTTGGGAATGACCTGCCATCCCAATGGTGCAGAAGTTGGTCAATCTCTTCCAAACTTCTTTAAAAGTCTTTTTCTCTTCACCCAAAATGGGGAAAAGGGGATGTGAATATAATCACTAATTTAAAAATAAATCAGTGAATAAATGTATTTATAAATGTATGAAATGGAATATGATGTATAGGTAAATTTATGAATATATTTTTAATTAGAGAATAAATCTATGAAAATATATATAAATTAAAAAATTAATAGATATAGAGCCTTTAAGTCCAAATGCAGAAATCTTAAATATGAGTAGACCTGAAAATTTTAGCTGAATGAACTTGTTGCAGATGTTGATTTGAATTAATTTATCAGCCAATTACTGAAATCTCTTCAGTGTATAACGGGCAAGAGGAAGTATCAAAAAGTATCTCCGATGTTGCCCTACAATGGCAGAAAACCAACTCTCCAGGAAACATTAGCAATTAAGAAGCTTGGGAAAAAATATTTTGGGATTTAAGCAAAAACACTGGAATCCTCTAATTTGATTTTTGATTAATTTCTTGAAAAGCACCTTTTTCCTTTTTTTTTAATTTTTATTTTTGGTATGGAATTCAGCTCTGAATCTTCACTTCTATGTCCAACACCTGGGTTTTGAGCCAGTGTTTTGGCTCAAAAATCCTGAGTTAGGAAACCCATGATGCCCTTCCCATGTTCATCACACCAAGCATTGAGCAACCCTTGTGGTGAGAAGGGGACTAAACCCAGAAATTACTTTATATAGTAGAAATCTAGATAATACATACAAAATATTATAGAAATGGGCAATAATAAATAGAAATCATCTAGAAAAGATGAGGAATTGTTGAAGTGGCTCCATTATGAACTGCAGCACCTCTGCTACAACATTGCAAGCCCTGGGTGTCACCATCATATTTTCTGAAAAACCCTCTTTGCCCAGCATTCTTCTCCTAGGAAGCTAAGAGGCCTCAGAGAAAAAGGAAAACAATACTATCTCATTTGCTTCTCCTGTGTATTGCTGCTTTGGAATGTGGTTTGGAGATTGTTTTGACTTAATGACCAATCACAGTCAGGCTGTGTCAGCACTCAGGAAGGAGCCATGAGTTTTGCATTCGCATCTTGTTAAACTTCCTGTAAGTATCCTTTCTCTATTCTTTAGTATAGTTTAGTATAGTTTAAGTATAGTTTAAGTATAGTTTTAGGATAGTTTAAAGTTTGACAAGAAAGTCTCACAGATATCTATGCTTGGCAGAAAGATTTTTGAATGTAGAGTCTGATGAAGGAATAGAGATAGAAGCAAGTTTTGATACAGAAGAAAAGAATTGCTGAGCCAGTCTTACTGGATAACCAAAAAGGCAAAAGGTGTGTTAGTTAGAAGGAGTTTTTATGACTTAGAGCAAAAGATAAACCCACCTCAAACAAGATGTTTTTACCAAACAAGAAGATAAGCACAGGCAAACAAGCCTGCTAATGTTGCAAGTAGAAAAAAGGTCTCAGAATTTTCCACTGCAAGAAAACTGAATAACAACTTCTGACTTAAACTGTAATGTAATGACTTTTAGTGATTGGAGAACAGTAACATGAATATGGTAATTATAGTAGTTATGATAGGCTAGAGATAATAGTTAAGGTATAGATTTGTTCTACTGTATTAAGATGCTCAGCAAAGAAAAGTATATAATGCATTGTAACCAAAAGAAAAGTATATAATGCATTGTGAGTCTCCACAACTAAGGGTCTCCAGGCCTGCCTGCAGCTGGAGCTGACAGGTGTAGGCACAGGCTCTGTCACCCACAACCCTGGACTGCTGTAACCTCTTGGATGGTATAAACTGCATTTTGGAGAGCTGCCTGGAGTCTACATCCCTAATTTTGGCTCTTACAGTTTAGTATAGTATTCTTTAATATAATAGAATAACATAAAATAATAAATTAGCCTTCTAAGAACATGGATTCAGATTCATAATTTCCTTCCTGCCACGAAGAACCCTCAAATACCCCACTGGGAGAGGAGGAGGAGGAGGAGGGTACTCACTGGCGGTAGCTGACCATGACGATGAGGATGGCTGGCATGCAGCACAGGAAGATGATGACAGCCAGGGCCAGAAGTGCCCCCTCCGTGAAGCCCACGGCCTGCGCCTGCTTCTTCACGTTGGCCACCACGTCCGGCGTGCGGATCTCCAGGATTCGCCCGCCCTGGCCCAGGTAGGGCTGGAACTCCTTGTTGATATCCAGCAGTTTGCCATCCAGGAACCTTCAAGGGCACAAAAACACCCCACTGTTAGGGCCAAGGTCATGAAGAGAGTTTTAATTAGGGCAGGTTAATAGCCCAATAAAGCACATATGTCATCTCTGTGGGCTTTGGAATAGTGGCAATTCCCTGTAATCCCAATTCCAATGTACTTAAGACCAGGACACAGTTTAGACACTGAAAAGGAGGGCTAAGATGAGCTTATCCTGGTTTCCAGGGGCACAAAGTTCTTGCTGGCATCACAAAGGCCTTGCTTTGTGCTTTTCCTTCTCTGCTTTGATCCTGAGGCTCAACCAACCCTTCCTGGACCGTCACTGTCATATTTTGTGAAAAATCCCTTTGTCAGGATTTCTTCTCCTGGGAAGCTGAGAAGACTCAGAAAAGAATTAAAACAATAATTATCTGATTGCTTCTCCTTCTCCCTGTTTGGCTGCTTTGGAATGTGATCTGAATATTGTTTACCAACAGGTGAATGTTTGATTGGTTTCATGTGAATTGGTTTTAATTAATGACCAATCACCATCAGCTGTGACAGACTCTGAGGAGTCAGTCATGAGTTTTCATTATCATTCTTGTTAAACTTTCTGTCTGTATCCTTTCTCTTTCTTTAGTACAGTTTTAGTATAGCATTTTTAATATAATGTAATATCATAATACAATAAATCAGCCTTCTGAGAACATGGAGTCAGATTCTCATCTCTCACCTCGTCCTGGGGACCCTCACAAACACCACACTAGACACATCCCTAAGGACCACTCTGTCCAAAATATCACGAAGGCAGTGGTGGAGTCACCATCCCTGGAAATGTTCAAAGAGCCTGTGGATGTGGCACTTGGGGAAGTGGTGGCCTTGGCAGTGCTGAGGATGTTGAATTTGATGACCTCAGATGTCTTTTCCTCCCTTAATGATTCCATGGTCGCTGTTACCCTAAAATCAGGCAATTTTTAGAGGATTTGCTGAGCTCCTTAGGGAAATTCTTTGGCTGGCTGGACAAAAAATACATTGTCCAAGGCTTCAACTTCTGAAGGAAAATAAAAATTCTTGGATCACTCCAGAAGTGAGGATTCAGTGTCTCACAAGCTGTCCAGCTCCTAAGACCAAAGTAGGAGATGTGTTAGGATGGAGGATCCTAAAAGGTGGGAGCTATAGCAGAATTCCAGATCCTTACACAGAGGTTCTCCTGGAGAAAGGCGAGGGGGGGAAAACCTCCAGAAAATGTCAAATGAAAAACAACAAAAAACTTCCATAGGTATTTTTGTGTATAAACTCTGAATGTCCAAAGAAAGCCTGAGATAACTTTGATTTCCTTACTCTGATTACTGATAGAAATTCCACTCCTCAAAGACCTTTTCTTTAAGGGCAGTAATTTCTTAAAATTGACTTCTCCTCAGATTAAATCCCAGATAAATCCTCGTATTATTTCTTGTCCCTGTTTTTTATTTTGGAATTTTGGGGAGAATCCACTCTGCTCTGGGTGTGTAATGGATCTCATCACAGGCAGAACAGGTCATCCTGAATGATGAATTTGGGTTGGTTTCGTGATACTGAGGGAAAAGGGGCTGCTCACCCCCACCCTCACAAAGGTGTCTGGAAGAATAATTCCCATTCCTGATGTTCCACAAACCATTTCTGTGATACTTGAGAAAAAAAATCCCTTTTCCGACCTAAATGACGGCATAAAGTGGATAGAAACATTCTCTTGCTGCTCACTAGATGTCACTGGTGCATGTCCCACGTCCTTGGAGCTGGCAAAAGCCTTCCCAGCAGGACACATGAAATCCCTGGATGATTTTAAGCATCTCTCCCTTGAAATTCTGCTGGCATTTTCCCGACAGAACCTTTTTAACAGGTCCGTAACTCAGCCGTGAGCGTTTACTCCGTGATGGAACCTGACACGTTGTGCAGGAGCTTCACACAGTTCTCTTTTTAACAGGGGACATTTTCCACTTAATTTATGCAGGAGGAATTTGCTGCATTCAACTGGTTTTTATGCTCCAATAAATCAAAGCCTCTTCCCTTTATAAGATAGGAAAGGAGGCTGAATGTTTCAGTCTGGGAAATTATCTGAGTGCCTTCGGAGTCTTTTAGGGTTTGTGGCAGAGGGAGGACATAGTGAAGTACAGAGCCATTTTTGGGCTGTAATCAAACAGATTTGGAGCAAAAATCAGAGGAGGAATGGCTGAGGGAGCTGGAAAGGGGCTGAGCCTGGGGTGAAGGAGGCTCAGGGGGGACAGCTTGGACAGCAGCAGCAATTTCTGCATGGAAAGGGTGCTCAGGCCTTGGCAGGGGCTGCCCAGGGAGCTTTGCAGTGCCCAGCCCTGCAGATCTTCCATAAATGTGTGAATGTGAGGACATGGTTTAATGGTGGGCTTGGAGATGCTGGGTTGAGTGTTGGAGATAATGAGCTCAGAGGTTCTTCCCAACCTGAATGACTCTCTCCCTGATTAATAAAAATTTCAGGTAATCAATCATAACAATCTGAAGGAAAAATACAGATCTCTCATTGTGCTTTACAAAGTTTTACAAAGTACAGGACAGGGAAAATTCTGCATATCTTGAGAGACATATGAGTTTTACCCCCTGCTACTGGCTGCTACATCCACGACTTCTAAATCTTGCCTTTGTTTTCCAGGCAAACATTTCCCTGGAATTATTGTGGGATTAATACTATGCATTACAGGGGCCTCATGCTTTGGTTCAGTGGGGTTTGCTTCTCATGGTGCCAACTGTGACTGTTCAGCTGCTGAGTCCATCCCCTTGTCCCAGCTCTGGCTGCTCTGGGTTTGGATCCCTGACTCCTGCCTGCATCCCTGCAGCTCTCCCCCTGCTGTTCCACTTCATCCTCAATTCCCCTCGCATCCGACCTTCACAAATAATTGTTTTCAAACAGTGACAGGTTCACAAGAAATTCTCTTAAATCAGAGCCTCCACTCTGCTTTAGAAGCAGGAGCACAGCAGGTGTTCCCAAAAAAGCCCATTCTGGAAAAGCCACAGGAATCTTCCAATATACAATCACTTGGTGAGCTGTATAAAAATCCAAGCTGGCAGAATCACTAATTCTGTGCTCTTGGTCCTGGATACATAATGGAATTGTTGAACACTTGGAAAATCACCTGTGGGAATTTATCTTCCTTATTGGTAATTAAATGTTTAGGTAAGACATTTTATTTTTAATTAAATAGGATTTTTTTTTTAATTTAAGTTTTAGTAAAACAGGATGTTCTTGTTCTGTTTCTTTTGGACTTATTCACATTTCTCCCATCATATCCAGTTTGTGAAATGATCCTTGCTCCCCCTGATCCCTTTTCTGTCAGATCCAGAGCAGACTCTTGGCCTGGCAGAAGGGTGGTTGGGACTCTTGGGTTTCCAGTGAGGGGACAACCATTGCTAAAGTGTCCTCTGACCATGGCAGGAAGAACCCTGAGCCATCCCTCTGAAATCAAACTCCAGGAGAGATCTTTATCTTTTTAGGATGCTAAAATCTTCGTGGATTTGGGTACATCCGAAATCTCCTGAGTTTCTCCCACTTTTCCATGAAAACTTGGGAACTCCAGCTGCAAAACTCTCCTTACTCCAGTGAGCTGACAGCCACTCACTTCTACCCTAAAGTCAGGGAAGCATTCCCTGGGATTTTGCTGATTTAAATATTTAAAAGCTTTTGAAGAGAAGAAAAAAAAGCCCTTAAAAAGATGAGTGTGCAGGCACAGGGAGCATTTTAATGAAGTTGTTTCTCAGATGAGTCCCCTTTCCCTTCCTGTTGGAAAATCTGATTTTTAACCCATATTAACTCTATTCTGTTTTGGCTACTTCACTGGACATCTGAACATCCCTAAAAAGACATTCCAATATTTTCAAAGGGTGCCAAAATGAAAAGGGACAATTTTTTTCTGACCATGAAGAGAGTCTGCAAAGGGAAAAGTTTATTTTTCCTGAAATTCAAAGAGCCAACTGCCTCCCTGTTCAGATAAAAGCTGATTTTCATATTCTGATAGTAGTCAATTTACTGAGAGTTTTCCAAAGGGAGGAGGAAAAGGGTGCCAGAATCTTGAATAAAACTGGGAAAAGATCACAATGACACCATTCTGGGAATGACCAATACTGGACAAGTGACCACAAACACCCAGAGCATCACTGAGGTCTGAAAAGACCCAATGACCATGGGGATACCTAAAAACAAATTCAGGGAGAAGGAAGGAGGTTCTGTTGTCAACCCGTGAAAGATATTATTGCTATTAATTATATTTAATATAATTTTAAAATATAAAATATTATTTTTATATTCCTACTTCAGGAAAATGATGCTGGAAGATTAGAGTGAGTTCAGAGAAAACTTCAAGTGATTAAAAGAATTAAAACATAGCCCAGAGCAGAACTTATAAAGAATAAAAATACAGAGGATGATGTGAAGAGGAGCCTAGACCTTGCTGAGACCTAGAAATTAAAAGCAACAATGGATGCTTTAATTTAGCAATGGATGCTTTAATTTAGCACCCAAAGTTATAATAAAACTGATCCTGGAAAAATTGAAAAAAAAAAAAAGACAAAAGGCCTAATTTTTGACAGGGAACTAACCTGCAGTAACAACCCCCAAGTTGTAGTTGATTGCACTGTCTGGTGCAATTGCTTTGCTGACAGATATGTTCCAAGCAGAATTAATTTGGGGAATTAATTTCTGTTCCAAGCAGAATTAGTTTGGTTCCCAAACTTGCTCAGACTGATTCCCGTGATCTTTCCCAGCCTACAAAATCTGAATATCTGCAGAACTCTCCTATGCTGCCGTTCACCTACACTCCACCAGCAGCTCAGGAGAAGCAGCCTTTTCCAACCTCATTTCCCTGCTCTCGTTTGCAGCCTTTTCCTGCCAGGCTGCTGAGGACATGCTCAGTGCAGGAAGAGCCTGGTGGGGTTCTCACCGAGAGAAAAATCAACATCAAGGTGGAGCATATGTGAAAAAAAAAAAAGCAAAGCAAACCAAAAAAGGTTTTTTTTTTTTTCTTTAGAAGAATAACCTGATTTGCATTTTGAAGAGCCTGATCTCCTGGGTGGAGTTGTGCACTTGCCCATGTTCCAGTCTTTGTTTTACATGAGGTGCAAGCCATCCCTTCCCTTCCCTTCCCTTCCCTTCCCTTCCCTTCCCTTCCCTTCCCTTCCCTTCCCTTCCCTTCCCTAGAAAAGAAAAATAAAAGAAGATGAAAGAAAATAAGATGAAAGAAAATAAGATGAAAGAAAATAAGATGAAAGAGAAAAGAAAAGAAAAGAAAAGAAAAGAAAAGAAAAGAAAAGAAAAGAAAAGAAAAGAAAAGAAAAGAAAAGAATGGACTCAAGCTCCAAACAGAAACTGTGGGAAGCCTGAAGGTCAACTCTGCAGCACCAAAGCCTGAAGACCACACAGGACTTTGTGCATGTAGGAAGGAAATTCCTTACAGGAATTTCAGTTGGAAGCTCCTCCACAGGGTGGACAAAACCCATTACAAGCTGTCATGGTGACAATGTCATGGTGACAATGTCTGAATCATGTGGATTGGGACAATCTAGCCCAAGGCACTGGACTGAAGTAGGAAGTGGCAAATTCCCAAGGGGATATTCATGCAGCAGCTGTTTCAATGGATTTTTCTGCTCCTATTATGCTGAACCAGTTTCTAACAAACTAACAGCTTCCCAAACAATCCATGGAAACAGAGGGAGATCAACAAAACCAACACTCACTTAAAGAGTTCGTTCCTCATGATGGCTCTGTTGGTCTGTGGGTCGATGGCGTAGACCATGAGGTCAGACTTGGTGTAATCCTCCTCAGAATATCCATCCCCAAACCTCCGGGCTCCGATGGATTCCACCACGACCGTCGCCCCCGGGATCTGGTCTTGCACGTAGCGTTCCAAAATCCTAGAGGGAAGAGGGAGCTGGAAAGCTGCAGTGATGGATTTGGGCCGCTCACCACTGACCCCAGCCCAAATGAGGTACTGATAGGAAAAACCCATAGGGTGAGAAGGATTTTGACCTTCAGAGCACTTTTGAAAAGGAATTGCTGCTCCACATAACCTCTGAAGTGCTGAACTCCTGAGAAAAGCTCAGCAGTGCTTGGAGAGGTCTCCAGAAATTGTGTCCTTAAGTCCAGCTCTTTGTATTTATGACCCCAGTTGAGTTTTAAATGGCTCATGGGAATCACCACCTATATTTCACACAAAATCCCCCTGTCAGACTTTTATTAGGTTATATGATTCCAGCACTTCCATCCCAGCCTTCCACAGGGTGCATTCCATAAATTTTCACCCAGAGAAACAACCACTTGAGCGATTTTTGGTGGGATATTTCATCCAGGCCTCCAATATCACACAACATTTCTGAGGGGGCTGCAATACCTGCTCCAAAAGGCTCCAGGTTTTACAGGCAGGAGGAAATTGGAATATTGGGCTGACATTTTTACCACAGGAAATAAAATCAAATAAACTGCAGCAGGATTCCACAAGCAAGGAAAAAAAAGGCTGATAGAATTTAGAGGTAACAACAATATCAACAAAAAAACCAGCAACAACCAGACTTGCTAATGGTTGATGAGATTTCCAACGTGGGATCAAGAAAGGTTCACTCAAAGCTGACAGAGAATTTTATAAACAAAGGCATGAATGCAAATATAATCAACTCTGCATAAAAAAAGGAGGGAGAAATAAACCAGAGCATTTGGAAGCATAAAAATTCCATCTAAACTTATAAGAAAATATAGAATTTCCTGGGGCAATTAATGTGATCAGAAAATCAAAAAGCAATAGCTGAGCTGGGAGGCAAAAGCAAGGGAACTACAGGGAATGTGTTGTTGATCCATCAAGGATGCAGCAGGGTGTGGAGAAAGACACATCTCCCACAAAAAAATGACTTTAAGGTACCACTTGTTCAACACAAAACCTTCTGCAGGTGTTGAGGTTCCATTTTTACTGTTGTGTTTTTTCTTCTGACACAAGATTTCCTGATTTTTTAAGACTCCTCATTCACATTTACCCAAGGAAAATCTCTTCTCTTTGTGTGGAAATTTAGTGGGCCCTCAAAACCTGTTGTAAGCTTTTAAGCTTTTTTATAAGATCTTGAAAAATTCAAGTATGTCAGAGGCAGGTCATACCTGAGGAGTGAATATATGGAATTACTGCAGAGAAAATAGGGATACAGATTGGTTGACACAGTGCTTGTGGAGCGGTGTCCTCTGAACAAGCTCTCTTGTTGTTTGCAGATATGGAAAACTCTGCTTATCTCTGCTTCTGGCATGTTCTGCACTGGCAGCCAAGGTGAGCACCTGTCACAGACACCTCAGCAACAATAATTCCCCCAGGGAAAACCTGCCAGGACCAATCTGGGTTATGGAGATTACTATAAAACCCTACCAAACATGATGGGAGCGTAAGTGGCTAAAAAGAAACCACAACCATTCTCAGAAGGGTGTCGGGCACAAGGTGTCAGGCAGAACAAATGTATAAAGGACTTGCCTCCATAATTAGCATTTAATCATCTTCTCTTGCTGCAGGAGGAGATGAATTTCATGGAATCACAGAATGCCAGAATCCCCCCTGTGCCCTGTGCCCACCTTGTCCCCAGCCCAGAGCACTGAGTGCCACCTCCAGCCCTTCCTGGGACACCTGCAGGGCTGGGCACTGCAAAGCTCCCTGGGCAGCCCCTGCCAAGGCCTGAGCACCCTTTCCATGCAGAAATTGCTGCTGCTGTCCCAGCTGAGCCTCCCCTGGCCCAGCCTGAGGCCTTTTCCCCTTGTCCTGTCCCTGTTTCCTTGTATAGAACTCTTATTACACCCAAGACAGAAATGCTCCATCAGGGTTGGAAAGTTATAATGTGAGGTCACTTCTGCCAGAATCAGTAACAAGATTCCCTTTCCTCACTAATTCCTGGCATCCTGCTGGAATTCATTGCCTTTGAGAATATCTTTGTCTAAAACATTAAATCTGAAGACCAAACAGAATATTTGGGAAAGGGATGGAGTGACAGGAGGCAGGGAATGGCTTCCCAGTGCCAGAGGGCAGGGCTGGATGGGATATTGGGAATTAGGAATTGTTCCCTGGCAGGGTGGGCAGGCCCTGGCACAGGGTGCCCAGAGCAGCTGTGGCTGCCCCTGGATCCCTGGCAGTGCCCAAGGCCAGGCTGGACTTTGGGGCTTGGAGCAGCCTGGGACAGTGGGAGGTGTCCTTGCCCATGGGATGGGGTGGCCCTGGATGGACTTTAAGGTCCCTTCCCATCCAAACCAGTCTGGAATTCTGTGATATCACTTCCTAAGAAATGTGTACATTGCAGCCATTGGCTGTGCTGACATTGCAGGAAACCCCACAAAGTCCAGCAGAATGGCAGCAGTGTTCAATTTGAAACACACAAATTGCACATTGAGGTTAAAACAGAGAATAAAATCACACTGAAGACTGAAAAGCTGCAGCTAAAGAATTCACTTAAAAATAGGGCAGTTCCCTCTAGAGCTGTTTGAAAAATCTTTCAGCTGAACTTTTGATGCTGAAAAAACACTGTAGTGTTTTAGAACTCCTCTGGAAATGGCCACTTGCTTGCAGTGCTACTCACAGAAGACAATTTTTTTAGATTCCTGCTTTCAAGTAACAGCAGCATCCACAGCTCAGCTGTACTGATCAGCAGAATTCAATTTAAAATTATTCTTCCACTTGTTAATCCCATGAGGGTTATCCCCATCGTCCCAAGTGGCGTGTAAGGGGTGGAAGCAGGAGCAGAACAGGCAAAGAGCCTTTCCAACTGCTCCAAGTCCACAGGAGCTGCTCAGCAGTGAGGGAAATGCCTCCCAATGCATCCCCAAGAGCACAGCTCTCCCAATCCCTGCAGTGACACTGGACAAGAGGAGTTGCTCTGTCATCGAGGGATCCTGAAGCCCAAAGGTCCCTGAAAATCCTGAGGTGATTTTTTTTTCATCTTTAGATGCAAAATAAATGGAAAGGCAAAATAATACAGGGGTGTTGATCTGCTGAGCTGTCCCTTGGATGGAGAATTCTGCCACATGAAGTCTCACAATGGTTTGGACTGGAAAGGACCTTAAATCCCATCCATTGTCATCCCATGCCATGGGCAGGGACACCTTCCACTCAGGTGTCCCAGGATGCTCCAAGCCCTGAAGTCCAACCTGGCCTTGGACACTGCCAGGGATCCAGGGGCAGCCACAGGTGCTCTGGGCACCCTGTGCCAGGGCCTGCCCACCCTGCCAGGGAACAATTCCTAATGCCCAATATTCCCCATCCAGCTTTGCCCTCTGGCAGTGGGAAGCCATTCCCTGTGTTCTGGCACTTCCCACTTTGGTGAAAATCCCATCTCCAGTCTTCTTGCACATCCCCTGTAAGTACTGGAAAAAGGATTTCAGAACATTTCTGAACTGGTACTTCCTGGAACATCCCTGAAAGCAGCAGGTCAAACCCCAAAATTTGGAAAAAAGCACCACATTCCCAGCCTGCTCTCAGTGCCATGTCCGTTTGTTTATATCCACACCTGAGGTTGCTGTATGGCCTTCCAGACAAGATCCTGGAGAATATAGGATTAAATTTAGGGGTTCACCCTGGCATCATAGCAAGAAGATCTTGAGGAATTAAAAAACCTATTGTGTTTTTGGAGTACGTAAAATATTTTAAGAAATAGAAAAAATACTAACCCCAAATATTCTTTCTTTCAGGACTCAGATTACTGAAGACTTGGAGTGAGTAATGTTGAAAATTCAAGATCCTGCATAATTTTTGGCCAAAATTCTATTTTCCAAAAATAACCTGGTGCAATAATAATGATAAATTTGTATTCTGAGTATTTGAAAGCACAAATTTGGCAACCATGTGGAGCTGAGAGCATCCAGCCCCCACCATCAGCATCAATGCAGACTTTTCAAGTGCTTCAATTAACTCCTCAATTCTGCTCCACTTCAGCCAAATTCTGCCTGTGTGGAGTTGTTGTGGGATTAATAATTGACAATGAAACCACTGGATTTTCAACTGGACTTCCCCAAAGTGCCAAGGACCAATTCCAGCCCCTCTGGTGCAGTCAGTGAGAGATTTGGGGGGATACACTGGGGCCCCAGTTTCCAGACTCCTTATTGCAACATAAATAGAGCTCAGGGAAGGGTCTGCTCATCCTGTGGTGCCTAGGGTTTATTCCAAGCCTAAAAACATCACTTTTTTATAAAGCAGCCTTTCACAAACATTATTTTTCTATCACACATATGTTCAGCAGCACAGAGACAATTCCCTATGCATAGAATAGAATAACATAGATAATATTTCATAATAACATATGCAATAGAATAACATATATAATATTTCGTAATAATATTATTAATAGTATTTAGAAAATAACCCAGAGCCAATGTCTTTATACCCACTTATCCTAATCCCATAAAAGCAGAGAATTAAGGCTGGAAAAGGCCTTTAAGATTCAAGTCCCACTGTCACCCCAGCACCACTACAAGCAGATTGGTTTGCACACCAGTAAGGAAATTTGCTTTCTTACACACTGCTGAAGTTGCTTTCTTTCTCTTTGTGCTCATCCTGTAAAATCCTGCCCTCCAAAACCCCTACACACGCTCCAACTTTTTTATTTCAGCCTCATTTGTCCTGGTCACAGAAGGAGCATTGCGCTCATCCAATGAATAATACCCAGAGCCATCTCCCCTCTGACCTCCAGGACAATCTTCAGATCTCAGCACAAAAGGGCTTTTCCTGCAATTGTCAGCAATTCTTGAGGAGAGAAAGCAGGAGTTTACAGCTCTATCCACTGCATTAGAGAGCTTTGGAGAGATCCATTAGCACAACAACCCTGAGAGTTACAGAGAGCAGGAGCTTGCTGAACCGCAGCTTCCCAGCTGCCAGGGCCAGCAGCAAGTGGAAAAGCTGGACTTA